CCAGAGGCTCTCCCCATGACAGCGACCAGCGCCCCGCCCTGGTCTGGTGCCCCCGTTCACCTGCTCCACCATCCTGCCGCGGCCAATGCCCACCATGTACCGCTCTCTGCTACCTGCTACTGACGCCTGCCATGTTCTGCGTGTGCCCCCTGGTGGTCAGCGCACATCATAGCAACTGGTTGTTCGGTTTTTCTGCCATTCGGTCTATTTGCATATTAGGGTTTTATATATATACCAGTGGCCCGTTGCATGAAGATTCGCACAATAGGCCTTCCTTCCCCTGGCTGCCGGCACTGGTTTTCCTCCGGCACCTGGGACCCAGGCCTTTGGTCTGGCCGCAGCAGCGATGCTTGGCTTCTCCGCTCCGGCTGCTCCCAGCCCCTGCTTTTTTTTTCCAGCTCCTTGAGCGGAGCCCAGGAAGGGCCGGAAGCCTGAGTCGCCCCTGGCGACCCAGGCCCCCAGAAACTCCTTGAGCGGAGTCCAGGGCTGGCGGGAAGCTTGGCTTCCTCCGTCGCCGGGAGCAACCCAAGCCACCTGCTCGCTCCAGCTCCGTGGTCACCACCATCTTCAATCATCTTCAGTCTTCGCTCTGTGTCTGCGTATGCAAATTAACCGCCATCTTTGTTGGGTTAATTTGCATAGTCGCTCTGATTGGCTGGTGGGCATAGCAGAATGACAGCAATTTGCATGTTTCTCTTTTATTAGTGTAAATAGATTATTCCTACAAAAATGTAAAACATGTATATGGAATAAAACATGTAGAACTGAAGTAAAAAGTCAGGCTAGTGAGTGAAAACTTTTTCTTCTTTAAATTTTTTGAAGAAGGAAGAAGAAGAAGGAAGAAGAAGAAGGAAGAGGAAGAAGGAAGAGGAAGAAGGAAGAAGGCACAAAACAAGTATAAAACACTACAACCTCTTCACAGACTCATTCTAATTTATCTTTAAGGCAAATGATCCTTGAAGCTGAAATAGTTCCAGAGTCTAAGAAACAGTCTAAGAAATTTGAAGGAGCGAGGGAAAAGGCCCTGCTTTCCCAAAGATGTAGAAAGGAAGGAGGAAGGAGGAAGGAGGGAGGAAGGAAGGAAGGAAGAAGAAGGGAGTAGTAGAGTCTCAGAGAGAAGAGATACCAAGGGAGAGAATGAGGAGGCTGAGGACAGATGAGAACCCATACAAGGATTTAGAAAGGATTAGATAGAAAAAGTTTGAAATGGGTAGAAACCCAACAAAAGAGAGGTACAGAAACCCATAGAAAAAGGTTGAGAGATCTATACTGGAAATAGCCAACAGAGAGAGGGAGATGGGGTAGGAGAGAGAGGGAGAGGGAGAGAGACAGAGACAAAGCCTGGTAGCCAGAGTTAACGGGGGAGAGAAGGATCTGAGGTGTTAGACAGATGAAGAAAGAGGGAGAGAAAGATAGAGATCAGAGCCAAAAGTGAAGGGGACAGAAACCCAGAAAGTAGACAGAGACAGAAGAGAAAGGAGAGAAAAAGCTTAGAAAAAGAGGTAGAAAATGACAGAGAGTCAATGATGAAATGAGAGTACAAAATACTCCTATATACATCTGAACTCATGAATGGAATCTAAGTCTATCATCCTTATAATCCTGAAACATTGAATCCTTCTCTTATCCTCACAATGCCCTCAGCTCAATCCCCTATTTGCATCCTCAAGCCTTCCCTTCAGGCTCATGTTCTTAATCTACCCAGAGATTTCCCTGAGCTCTCTGAAATTCCCAAAAGAAACTCTTCATAGAGTTTCAAACCCCAGTCTCTTCATAAAGGTTTCTTTATTACTGCCTTGCCATTGACTAAACCTGGATCCCACCCAAAGGTACTGACTTCCTTGTAGCTCTCTCAAATGAAGACTGTTCTCACCCTTCACATATTCTAGGACCACAAGGCAATACTGCAAACTGCTGGCTCTTGGCTGTCCTGGCCTCAAACACCATTCCTTCTCCCTCTTTCCCAAACTCCCAAGAGATCTACCACATGGCTACACACCCTACCTACCCAATCTTGTGAATATCATCCCTTCATTTAGCTCCCCCAACCCCCACCTATGAATTCATACATGCACCTGTTTACTGGGCATCTATATTTGCATGACTCAGAGGCATCTCAAACTATTTATCATTTCCTCCCACAAACTCTTCTAATATATACACATAAGCAATACATAATGCTTCTGTTAGTAAAATAACTACCTAATATAGGACTGCCACACTCAGAGATAAGAATTTCATAAGATATTAGGTACCATTCTAAACAGAAATTCTGAGTTCACTCTCAGTAACCTACTCTTGGGCAGTTAGAACTAATAACAAATCTGAGCTCTCAACCCTAGAGCAGAACCCATCTCTTATTAGTTTACTAGCTAGTCTCTTGAGTGATATGTTGGTCCTGCCATAACAATTAGAATAAAGGAAATGGAGATCATGAGTAGGCCAAGAAGGCATTATCCTTTTGGTGGCTGGAATATTATGGGAGGTACTGAACCTGTGTATTTCTGCACATCTTCAGAAAATCTTCCTTTCTTTTGACAAGAAAGGTTCATTATTTTCAGCAATAATCATTTTTCTTTCTTTCTATTTCTTAAATGGCACTATCCCAAAACTAAGAGATGTCTTTCTTTTACTTTGGAAAATTTACAATACTCAAGAGAAAGTTCTGAGATAAATAAAATACTAGAAAGTGTATTTCTTTTTTATAATTTTATTAGAGGTTCTCTGTCCTCTAATTTCCCTTAATGACTTCTTAATTGCTCTTTATCTGTAAGATTTTAAGATAAATAACCAGCTCTGCACAGAGCAGGGAGGAAAATCATCCTCTGGGATAGACAGATAATGGTCAGTCCATTGTAACTCCCCAGGCAGGATTAAGTGACATCAAGGGAAGACTGTGATGGGGCTTCCACCAAACCAAAACCAGACAGTTAGGTCTTTAAGTGCCATCACAGATACAGCCTTACATTAGAAAGTTTTTATATTCTTCCCTTGCTCTTTATCTTAATAAGAGTTCAGTGAGTTAATATTTGTAAAGCACTGAAAGAGGACATTCACATAGGGAAAACAATATAAATTAAGTAGTCAAGAGAAAATGTTTAGGGGCCTGTAAGGAGACCTTTGCAAATGAATCTGCATGCAATCCAGAGGTTCGTGGAACAAATAATTCCGACATTTACTTTCCTCCCTGGGGTATCATAATGTCTAGCATCTAATAACAAAAAGCCATGAGGATGCAAAATTCCATTATAAGAGTGCTTCGAACATAACAGATGCTCCATAATTTTATTTGGGAAGGAACAGGAAAAAGTAAAGACATGCCAAAACAGATAAAATTAAAGACATAACAGGCAGTTTGCTAGATTGAAAAAAAAAAAAAGGCATGAATCAAGTAACTGGCTTTAGAAACAAAAGAGCTCAAATACTTATAAGGATTTATAGTCCCTAATACGAGCAGAGGCAATCATTTAGACTTAAAGGCAAGGGTGCATGTGAAAAACAAGAGTCACTAAAGAACCAATTTGGCCCTAGCCGGTTTGGCTCAATGGATAGAGCATCAGCCTGTGGACTGGAGGGTCCCAGGTTCAATTCTGGTCAAGGGCACATGACCGGGTTGCGGGCTTGATCCCCAGTAGGGGGCGTGCAGGAGGCAGCTGATTAATGATTCTCTCTCATCATCATTGATGTTTCCTCCATGCCCGCCCCCGCCCCACACACACACTAATTATATATCACAATCCTGGCTAAAGATATAGATATCTTCCCATATTATAGGCTCTATCGTGAAAAAAAGAATTTCTAAGAAAATAATCGAAATAAAATTTAATGGAAAATAATTAAACATGTGTACATTGGGAAATAGGTATGTGAAGTAAAAAGTACACTGGGCTAGAAATCAAGAGGCTTTATGGATTTAAGGACTTTAGAAAGTATATGCATGATATCTGAGGTCCAAAATATCAAATTAATTTATCCGAAGTCATATTTATTCATCCAAAAAGATCAAGTGGTTTGTT